CTTTAGTAAGTCATGTCGACTTCTCAGTTCACACTGAACTCTTCCTCAGCGGCTCGCCGGACGTTTGGTTCACAAAAGGCCCTCATGCCCTCGGACTGGAGGGCCATGTGCTTTTTGATGTGCTGTACAGAAGGAAAGGGCCAAGAGAAGGGGAGGGCGAGGAGGAAGGATCCGTGCTGGCCGGCCAGCCCGGCATCTGCCTCTTGAAAGGGCGGATCTTCAGCGGAAGGGCCGGCGACCGAGGCGCCGGCTTGACTTCGTCTGCAGTGCATTGCGGACTAAACACGAAAATAGCAGAGGGGCTCCATTGCGTGTATATTCCTGCATGCACGGTTGCCTTGCCTCGTTCACACGTTACCACGTTCAAAAAGACAAAAAGGGAACTCTGGGATTTCATTTCTGAAACCAGCAACTTAACAACAGCACGATCCATGTACGTGTTTGTACCTCAGTTCTGCCACAGAAATGACAACAATCATTTAGCAACTTAAACAGTGTTGTATGTATTCCACTATGTGTGCGTGTCGTGGGGATTCCCCTGCGCAAAAGACAAACACACACACACACACACACACACACACACACACACACACACACACACACACACACACACACACACACACACACACACACACACACACACCGCCCGATCCTCTCAAGCCGGCCTACTCAGCTGCCGGAATCACTGCAGCTGCAACCCGAAAGGAAGGAAACTGTAGGAAACTGGAGTCCCCAGACCGCCTTTGGGAAGAGTTCCAGGTGACCCCACGAGTTCCCAGTCGGTGTCTTGGCCTGTGGACGTCATACAGTCTACACTGGGCGCTGGAAAAAAAGGGGGCGCCCGGCGTGATAAAGTCGCCCCAAACTGCAAAACCAAGTGTGCCCCACCCAGAGACCTTTCACCGGACAAGGGAGCCCTTTTCTTAAGCGTTTATTACGCGCCACCGCTCCCTCCGTGACCATGGTCGATGGTCCAGCTTGGCGTTGGACGGGCCTTTGCCCCCTTGCCCCTAAAGCCGGGGTTAAGCCTGAACCCGCAAAGGAATAGCGGAGGGCGGGGGGGGGTGGCAGAGCTCTGCTCTCCTGAACCTCCGCATTGAATCTAGACGTGAAAACTGGGGCACTTGCTCCCAAATGTTGGCCACATTTCCTTTCAATCTGCGGTCTCCTAAACACAAAGATAATTTGGGGGGGGGGCGGAAATATGAGCAACATTTGCTTTCATCCCCGAGCCTTGATACAAAGGGCCCCGAAAATCCTGAATTTAGGGCCCCGCTGGATCGCTGGGCGGTGGGGATCCACTGCCACCCTAAGCAATGACCGAGACGAAACCGTTGAGAAGGAAGCCCCTTTGGACCGAGGTGTAAAGAGCCCCGATTCAAGGAGCCGGCGGCGTGTGTTAGATTCTTGCATGTGGTGGAAGGTGTGTGTGCACGCGTGAGTAAGTGTGCAGAGCGGAGAGAGATTTCTGTTTCTGGACTATTATTTGAGTGCCCTTCCTCCCTCCCCCTCCCTTCCCCCTTGTGTCTTCTTTCCTCTCCGCTTTTCTGTATCAGGGAACGGGTTGGGGAGGGGTGGCGGGAGAGAGAGAGAGAGAGAGAGAGCGAGAGCGCGCATCTCTTCTAGCTGCTCCGAAGTGTGATTCAATTCCCCAGGGAGTTGGCAGACAGTTTGTGGAGACGTTACTCCAGATTTTCAGACTATGATAAATATGATAATTTGTATAAAATTTGAATGGGTTCTTGTTTTCAGGGAGAATGCCTCCGATGATGAATGTTCCTGATTTTCAGATAGATGGCTGATAAAAAGTGTATTGAATTGTTGAAAGCGATTTTAATTTTAATTCTCTACCTGCAGATGTCTAATAATAATAATGTCTCCTAATAAAATAGGAAGGTGTCAGTTTAAGCAGCGGTATCGCGCTTGACTTCCCCCTTCCTGTCCCCACACTGTGACAACATTAACCTCTTCTTATAAAAAAGCACATAAAATTATTATAATTACAGAGTTATTAATTTTAAAAAGAAGGTTAGCAGGATTTTTATGATTATTAATAGAGCTCACACATCCTACCCCTGGAAGTAAATCCCGAGCGCTAATTCTTTGATTGGGTCGGAATCGCTCCCTGAGCTTCAGTTAGAACAACTGAAACAAAAAAAGGGGGGCGCAGCTCAAGAAGCAACCCCCTCGCTTTCGCCTTTTCGCCAAAGCCCCCTTTTCAGACGATTCCGCCGAAGGGGCGGCGGGGAATAGTGGGGGGAAGACGCATTTGCACCCCTGTCTGCGTTATTTCAAAGGCTGGTCCGGGGGCGGGGGAATGACTTTGGCTTGTGTCCCGTGGAGTAGCGCGATCCCCTCACCGGGATTGTCGCGGGGTATTTCAAGCACACACACCTTGCCCTGGCGCTTGCATAGCCTTTTGTCGGGAGGGTGTAGATCCAAGTAACCCGGTGCGGTGCAACCGGTTCATGTGCGTGTTCACGGGAATCACGTCAAAACACAAGCGGGAGACACTGAACCGTTTCCCATGAATAAACAGTTTCTTCTCCCGCGCCACAAATAAATAGTGGCGATTAGAATTCACCGTGGAGGGGGCGTTCTTTCTTTCTTTCTTTCTTTCTTTCTTTCTTTCTTTCTTTCTTTCTTTCTTTCTTTCTTTCTTTCTTTCTTTCTTTCTTATCAAGTTTTCTCGGAAAAAACTTTATCCAGGTAGTGGGAGTTACTTCCCCATAAGGTGGTACGCGCTTACCCTAGAGCAAGTATCGTTGAACTCGGGCGATTTAACTCTGGCTTGGCACACATAAGATTATATATTATGGGTGCCTTTGGATCTCAGCTTTCGCAACTTGGGGCGAATACTGTACTGTATAGACTTGTCATGAATAGAAAGTGAAAACGGGGCAGTCCTGGAACTGGGCTGAAACGTAACATCTCCACTCTGACTTTGATCCAACTTTAAAGCGGGCAGAGTCTGCTTAGCTGAGGTCCCCGGACGGAGAAAACGCTGGGATAACTGGGGTTCTTCCGTATGAGGAACAGAGCAATACTGTTGTATACTGAATTCAAAGGGACTGATTTCCGAGCCAGCGAGTGTACAGGACGGCGCTTTCAGCATAGGAAAAACGCCTTCGCAAGAGGGGGAAACTTGTTGTCGCTGTTGTCACGCCTAAAACCCACTAGGGGCCGTAGAAAAAAAGAAAAAAGTGAAAGTACAAGATACACCAGAGAGTAGAAGTATGAAAAGGGGCAAGGAAGGAGGGTCACGAAGAAGAAGAAGAAGAAGAAGAAGAAGAAGAAGAAGAAGAAGAAGAAGAAGAAGAAGAAGAAGAAGAAGAAGAAGAAGAAGAAGAAAAGACGGGGGCCATGAAGGAGTTCTACGAAATGTGTTGGAGGGATACCCCCTTGATTGTGCGGAAGAAGAAGAAGAAGAAGAAGAAAGATGGGGGCCATGAAGGAGTTCTACGAAATGAGTTGGAGGGATGCCCCCTTGATTGTGGTTCCTCTCCCGTCCCCGTAACTAAGGATCTGGGAGCATTTCTTTTTCCACGCTAACGAATCGGGCTGTGTTTTGCAACTAGTGGACTAGGTTCTACTTTCTCGGCGAAAAGCGAAAGTGGGGGCGAAGGGAAACCTGGTCCATAACCAAGGTGTAAATGTGTCCGGGAAGCGGATTATGACGCAGAAAAGCTCACGCGGAGGCAAATCTACCAGTTTTTAAGGCACCACAACTTTTTGCCCTTTGCTTTTCTCTCTCTCTCTCTCTCTCTCTCTCTCTCTCTCTCGTTCCTTCATTTTGGTGAACGTGTTTAAACGGACGAGGTCTCCGAAAAAAACTAAACTAATTTGCTCAAGAAACACAGAGAGAGAAGCCGAAGAAGAAACCAAATGGAGGGCCCCGCACAGCCACAAGCAACTTCGTGTACAAGATCAAATATACTGGTTCACGTACTGGCTGAATAGCTCAGTGGTTTTGGTATCTGGTTGGAAGTTCAATTCCCCAGTGTGCCTCCTAGAAGAAAAGCAAGCCTGTGTGGCCTTGGGCAAAATGTACAGATCCAGGATACCCCCAGAAAACGGGATGGTAAACCACTCCTGTGTATTCTGTACCTGGAAAGGGGTCGCCCGAAGTCGGAATTGACTTGACGGCTTGCAATTTTAATTATAGAGAGTACATTCGGATGAAGAGGTGACATGTACCTATCAATGCCATGCATTATGCGGGCAGCTCGTCTCCAAGATGCCACGAGACTTTGAATTGTTCTGTAATCGGTAGCTGCGAAGTAGCCAAATCGGGGTGACTGGAATCAAGCAGCTATTTCCGCCGCCTCCTTCCCCCCCCCCCAATTGTAGTAGGCAGAGTCGACAAGCTGCGGGTATCTGTGGGCACTTGCATATTCTGACAACCATTTGGTCTTCATGTGATTGGTGCTGCCGTCCGATGCATGCCTAGTTAAGAGTAAGCCGCATGCTTAGGACTTTTAACTGGGAGAAAATACCTGAGATCAGAATCAGTCCTGCCCTTGGTATCTCAGGCAGTTGTTTTCTTACGTCCGCCGGCCAAAGGCATCAAGGCACAAAAACAAAGGGCGAGAACCTCTCCATAACAGCCGGGCAGTGAGACAGAAAGCGGACTTCTGGACGGTCTTTCTGTCCCTCTTCGGCTCTATAAGGTCCCTGGGGCTTGGCACCGGCTTTTGACTTGGTGTTAGAGGAAGTTCCGCCTTTCGCCGGCAGAAAAGAAAGCGGTTTCTGTTGAACACAAAAAGACAAACAGGGAGGCAAGGAGGGGGGGGACCGTGGGGAGTGGCTGGACAATTGGTCCCAGGACCTTTCCCTTGAAAGGCGATTTTGTTTGTTACGAAGTTGGTTCCGGGCGCTGGCTTACTCACGGAAGGAAAATGTGCAAACCGACATCCTTCCCCAAGGCGGCCGCCGGTGCTTCCCACTGGGAGGGCTGACGAAGGCAGGAGCGCCGGGAGGACCGGAGCGCCCTTGGCACCCTGAAAGCAAAGAATGGCCACATCAACCTCATGGTGTCCCCTTATTTGAGAGCTAATCGCGCTCGACTCTGCATTCACGTTTTCCTGGCTGGCCCGGGAGCATCTTTCGAGTTCTTCCTGACTCTTCCACCTGAGGCCCACCCGGCCCCACTGGACCGAAGCGGACCCCAAATGTCGAGGCTTCTTTCCTCGGCCCTTTAGGCTGCGCCCTGAGCGCCCTGGTTTCCATGCGGGGACTTTTAGTGGGATTCAACTAGACGGGCGGTCACGCTCCTGGCCCAGCTGCAGGGGCATCGGAGGGGGCTTCAGAGCAGTGCCGGCGCCCCGACAGGCCACTTGGGCCAGGAGAGGTGACCGCGGGGTGAATGCTTCCGTCTCTTCCCCTCGCCTATTGGGCTACAACAGGCGGGGGGGGGGGGGGGACAGCATCCCCTTGAGCTGGCCAGGAGACCTGGAGCTGCTTCCATCTGGCATTCAACTGGCCAAGGAGCTCTGATTTGTGGGAACTTTTGAGGGCCACCAGAGGGCCCGTAGGCCCGTTGTCACATCGATCCTCAGTGCCCCCGTTTCTGGAGGAAACCCCGTCCCGGCAGGTTTGGCTCGCCTCCTCTTTTCCGCCACCCTGGCGAGTTTCAACGGAGCCGCGTGGTTTCCCTCCTCCTTCGCCGATTCCCCGTCTCGGCCGGTCTCCCTCCTACCCCCTTCTCTTCGCTTCCTTCCAGGGGCCCTCAGTAGTTTGAGCTGGGCTTTGACGGGCTGCCTGACCCCTTTTTCTCCTCCCTTCCTCTCTTCTCTCGCCCTCCGGGTCCGGAGCTTGTCCTGTCCTGCTTCGGGCAACCTCTGTCACCCCATCTGCAAAACCAAAGTCAGCTTAATGAGCTCCGGGTTGTCCCTTACTCGCCCAGGTCCCGTGCCTGTTTCGAACCCAGCCCCAATGAATGCAGGAAGACCGGCTTCCACAGCTTAGTATTGTGTTTAAAGTAATGCGGGGGGGGGGGCGGGAGGACGACGAAGGCGGTAAATTTGTAATTACTCAAACAATAGTTAATTTTCTTTATTATTTAAGATCTCCGGAGTTCTTGCGAGGTGTAGACTGGATCTCCGACCTGCTCAAACAGACCATATTTTGGAATTGGGTCCGCCTGTGGTCCTTTCGTGGAGAAAGGCGGGATACAAATACTGTAATTAAATATTATAATACTGTACAGTATTTTAAATAAATAACTAATAAATGCACTGCAAAGCCACTCGCTCCCCCTCTCCTGGTTTTCCCCAACTTCCCACCTCCCAGGAAACCGAAGCGCCTTAGGCTCTTGGGGTAGCCCCGATCCCCGAGACCGTTCTCTGGGGTTGGACTTCACCTAGTTTTCAAAGGGATCCTCCGCAAGGGAAAGAAGACAGAGTGAACCGTCGATTATGGGTGTGCCGTCGGTCTGCAGAAAAAGACCATCCCGTCTAGCTACTGTGGGTTAGAAATCCGTTTAGAAATCGCTTCAGGTTTGGTTTAGAATTAGATAAAGCCAGGGTTAACTCTGGGAAGGAACCTGTTTTCATTGCCAGCCACCCAGTGGGAAATATATAAAATAGCAGTGGAAGAAAGTGTCTTTAAACATGTGCAAAGTAGATTACTCCCATTATTGGCTGTCGGTGACCACTTTCATCCGCCTGCCTCACTCCCGCCACCCAATATCTGCAATTAGCACTAGAAGGATCCTGCGAGAGCGCGGAGGTTAAATCCAGACCCCTCTTGGTATGGACATTCTAGCGGGGAGCAGCAACTTCCTCCTGTCTTAAGACTAAAGCCAAAGGGTCCGCTCTCTCTCTCGCTCTCTCGCTCGCTCTCTCCTTGACGCAGGAATGCGATGCGGGAGAGGATGCTCCCGATGGGGTTGCGGTCCAGCCCCACATTCTCTTCTCAGCCTTTCTATGTGCGGAGGTGGGGAGGACGACAAGGCTGGGCTACCCGAAGAGAGAGGCGAGGTTCTGGCTCAGATTTTGAAGCTCTCTGGGAGGCTTAGCCCCTCTCTGTCTCGGCTCAGCGCCAGGCAGAGAAGAAGAGCAAGTGGAAGGGGCTCCCCTTCCAGAGGGCTCCCTCTCCAAGGTGAGCATCTTCTGTGAAACGGCCGGAGCGGACGCCTGAGGGCCGCTTGTGCTTCTGGTTGAGCACAGAGAGAGAAACTGACTTGGAAGCGAAGACCTGCGATTTGGCCTGCGGCAGCCAATGACCCAGTGGATCAGTCCCCTGGCATCTTGAAAGCTGGCAGGCAAAGCCTCCGCCTGCTGCTCGTCCTCCAGGCGAGACGAGGTGAGCTGTGGTCCCCAAAGGCCTTTGCCGCCCTGGGGTGACACGGTCCCACCCCAGGAGCATTCCTGGATCTCTGCGCAGTGGGAAAACCCGACAAGAAGGAGAGGTCGAATCCAGCCCGTCAACCTGGATGTTTGCATCGCCAAAGATGACAGACAAGCAGTTTGGTACACCTTCTAACTGAAGGCTGCAAAGTTTAGTCAAGACAATCTGCCATCAAATCTGCCTGAAGTGGTTGGGGTGGATTTCAGATTTTTTTTTTAACACCAGCAGGGATAACTGTGTTGGCACAAAACAAATCCTCAAATACTGTATCGGGGAAGTGACACTTTTACTAGACAGACTTCTAAAAGGGCGCAAGGAAGTGGGCGAAAAAGCAGAGGGAACACCGGGCAGGAATTCCAGCCATGGAAAGGAAGCGGGGTGGGAGAGACGGAAAGGGAAGGGCAGCCACTCACTGCTTTTAACCATGGACGGTTTGTTGTGACCTCATACTCCCAAATGTTTGCGTGGGGCTCGTTCTCATCCTGGTCCAGCAGCCGCCCAGGGCTACAACAAATTTGCTGAACACCTCTCAGGGAGGACCCGAGACCTCTTTAACATGCGTCCAAGCCTTTTGCGTTGGCTCGCCATCCTTAAAACTCATCTGTAAAGCAGGAAAGGGCTCTTACTCCGGATTGCTGACTGTGAAAGTGAATTAGGGAAGAAAAGAAGAGTGCCGTTATTACAGGAGAACAGATCTTGTCCTTGATGGGGGGAGGGGTTAAGCTAGGGGTGTGTTATGGGGGTAAGGGGGGGGGTAATTCCTATCCAATCAACTGATTCAGCAACGATTTCACTTAATTCCACTTGGATATAATGGAACCTTTTCCCTTAATAGAAGAGATTAGGTGATCCTCTGAAGTCAACTTTAAATGTTACAGTATACACGAATAGGTGTTTTCCCGTTTCACTCGACTTGGCTGCCAGCCCGAGCTGTTCTGTCATTTAATAAAAGTTTAGAAATTCAGGAAAACCCTCTTCTCCAATAATCGGTTTAGACCAATGGAGTTAATTGAAATGCAGTTATTCCAGCTTTAAAACATTTAGGACAGCTTGAAAACAAACAAGCTATTCCTGCATAGTCTTTACTGGGACGTATATACCACTAAGCTTAGTTAGACTGACACCTTAGTCTAGAATGGTCAGGACCCGAGGCTTAATTACTCAATTACTCAATTCGGCTTGCAGTCCTAAAGGAGTCAGTCTCACTGGACTCCGGGAAATACGTCAACATGCTTAGGGTTTACAGCGCACCTGCACACTCCAGCACCGAAATGTCAGTGGTCTTGGAGGGCTATTCCATAGGGCGGCCCGTTTCTCCTTATGGGTTATTTATAACAGGAAATTGCCTGCAGAGATACACGTGTATTTCAGCACCGGCCAGGATGCAGCAAGCTCCGGCACTTCTTTCCCAAGGGAAATTTGAAACGCTGTTAATCGTTTACTTCAGAAGTGTCCTATTCAAGTTATGAGGCCTCCTGCAGTGCTGGTCCATTTTCTGCTGGCCTGCCAGGATTTAAATCCAAGCTTCTCAATGACCATGGCTGCAAAGTCCTGGAAAGGACTGTACAGCAGCCTGTCTTTTTACTGTAGCTTTTGTGGGAGAATAAGAATAATTGGGTTTTGAATTCATCATCCCACTGGCAAACATCGAAACTCAGGCCTTCCCTGGTGGCTCCTGCAACCACAGGCCCCAAAGTGCTTCTAAAAACCCAGGTAGCTGTATAGATCCATATGTGGAGATATGGGTGTACCATCACCACACAGAGGGCAGTTGCAGCAGCTTATAGCCTGATGCCCAATTTACTATTTAGCTGGCTGGCAATCACTGAGCCATGAGCTGGCTTAAAAGAGCAGTGCAGATCATTAGCCTTGTTGGGTCTGGGCTGGAGAAACCTGCATTCCCATCCCTGTTCCACTGTGAAGCTTAGGGGGCTTGGGCGTGTTATCTAGCCAGCCTACACGACAAGCTTATTACCAACAAAAAAGTAAGTGTGTGTGTGAGAGAGAGAGTGAGAGTGAGAGAGAGACAGAGAGACAGAGAGACAGAGATGTAAGTAACATCTCCTTTATTTCACCATGAGCTCAGTAGAAGATATCTGGGATAAAATGCAAATCCCCTGCAAAACATGAGGTGAGGGGCAGATGTGGTCACTAACCCAAAGCTGGACCTCCAGCTCTACCTATCTTTGGCTCCACTGCCACATTGCCTCCCTCACCCCCACCCTCACCCCCCTTTGGAGGCCTTCCTTTGAGTCCCCTCTCTGGCCAGCATAAGTCAAAGGAGCTGCTCCCTTCCACTTTGTGTGCCTGAACAAAGCTCAGGTTGCGCACAAAGGATAGAGCAAATCCAACTGAGGACTCCCAACTAGAGTAAACTATTGAACGGATGAGATTTAGCTAAGTGTGGCTCACTATTCATTAGCTGCCTTAGTGGGTCTACTCTACCACCCTCAAGCCGTTGGATTTAAGCCACGATTTAAGCCACAGTGTGTAAACGCGGAAGTGTTTTAGCACCACATGTTAGATCTCAAGCAGTTTGTAGAGCTGACTGAGCTGGAAAGAAAGAGAGATATTCCAACAAGTGTGTTCTGTTGGCCCTGGTCACTAGCCACCAAAAAGGAAGGAATTTAAAAAAAACACTGGACAGATC